TGCATTTTAAAAAAGTAAGGAGCAGAAAGTACAGATAATTGAATTAAAACGTAAGAAGAAGTAAAAAGTAGGCTGAAAAATGATTACTCCACTAAAGTATAAATAACCAAAATTTCTACTTACATAAAGTAACAAAGTATTTGTACTTAGTTACATGACACCTCTGATACTGATACAAGGAAAAAACGCAAATATCGTCCAAAAATATTGGCCAGCTAATGTATCGGTCGACCCCTAATAAGAAATTCATCAACGTGTGATGAAAATGACTGCTGTCTACAACAGGTAAGATACTGACTACTTATAAATACTCACAGAAACTTTTTTTTACAAAGATGTCATCCTTTTAATGTGCAGATGAAAAGTATTCATCTCTGGAGTGTATTTTTGAAGCTGAGGGGTTTAATGCAGCTCAGAAGACTTGTCAAACTAAAACATCACTATCTTGCCACAAAATAAAAACAAGTACCTTTTAAATGCTTAGCCTGGTAAAGGGGCCACTTTTGTTCAAAAACATTAAAAGGGACTGACACCTAAAAACCTCTGACGAGGATGTTTTATCGAGTCAAGTGGATTTATTTATAATCACTTTAAAAGAAAAAACAGCAATCCTTGAACAAACTGCTGTACAGCTGAAAGAACAACAGAAAAAAGTGAACAGTCCATCAAACATAAATCAATGCGTAAATTTTTTTAAATGATGAAAACAGGCACAAGAAAAACAGTACCTGCGATAAAGGTGACTATATCGCTTAAATTAGCGGCCGCATTAATTTTAACTTTAAAAGCTGCAATGGTTTTGGAGCAACGCGAGTCGACAAACAAGAGTCTTAACCCCGGATGACCCAGATTTGTAGAACCATTTCCAGTTGGGGGGGGGGGGGGGGGGGGGGGGGCATTTCATGTTATTTCACCGTCTCCCTGGGATTGTTTATAGCTGAAGCATTGTAGGTGTTATTGATGAAAGTGGGCCCCGCAGGCATGAGAGACACTATTTTAAAAGAACTGTCATGTTTAACATCTTTCTATCTCTGCTTGATGTTCGTCTCCCCCGGTCGTCTCTACACCAGTGGGGGGGGGGATGAGAACATCGCCCGTTTTCCTGCATGTCAGGAGTGGAACGCAGATGCAATTTTTAGTGCCAAGGAGTTTTTTTTTTCTTGTGGGGGGGAAAAGTAGGCCAGGAGTGTGAGGATTTTTGAAACGAGAAAGATGGAGAGACACTGAGGGGTACAAGGAAAAAGACATGTAAACATGAAAGTTTCCATCACACACGTGACAGTCTGCTTGTTTGTTAAACTCGTGCACATCTTGGCACTATTACAGAAGGAAAAAATAAAATAAATTCATAAAACAGGCATCCAAGAAGGAGACGAATAGTTTTTTTTACTCCCCACAAATAAAATTGACCGCAATTTCTGCTTGATTACCGTCAGTGGCGCTATTCTTAAGCATTAACCGTGCAAAAGATGCACTAACATTTACATAAAACACAAAGAGCACACGTCAACACAAAGAGTGATTTGTAAGTGACGTTTTCAGTCAACGTCCCTCAGCCATTTATTTTTTTCTCTGACAGCTGTCATCCAGCAAATTTTGTCTGAAGTGCCTATTTTTTTTTCACATCCTCACATATGGTGCTTTCAAATTCAGACAAAAGAAGGCGAGAAGAGCGTGAACGATATTCCCCCGAAGTTATACGTTACTTCTTTCTCAGAAACAAAAAGACACTTACAGGGTGCGGTTCATGAGAGATCGAAAAAAAAAGGAAAGGAAGAGAGGGGGAAAAAAGGAGAAATAAAAAGTTTAAATGAAGCAGAAGTAAACGAGTTCTTACAAATGTACAGTGGTTTGCAAAAGTATTCATACCCCTTGAACTTTTCCATATTTTGTCACATTACAACCACAAACATAAATATATTTCACTGGA